GAGACAGAGTCTCACTTTGTTGCCCAGGCTAGAGTGAGTGCCGTGGCATCAGCCTGGCTCACAGCAACCTCAATCTCCGGGCTCAGCGATCCTACTGCCTCAGCCTCCGAGTAGCTGGGACTACAGGCATGCGCCACCATGCCTGGCTAATTTTTTGTATATATATTTTTAGTTGGTCAATTAATTCTTTCTATTTTGTTAGAGACGGGTCTCGCTCAGGCTGGTTTCGAACTCCTGACCTTGAGCAATCGCCCGCCTCGGCCTCCCAAAGTGCTAGGATTACAGGCGTGAGCCACACGCCGGCCAGTTTCAGTTAATTTTTTAAAGCTTTATACTGATATTGTTCCTATGGTATTATTTAGGAATTATAACCATACTTTTATGTTTATCTCAGTCTGGGTTCTGGACAGGCAAATTAGGGATATAGGCATAACCTTGTGTTTAATTCAGAGATTGATCCTTAAGCAAAATTGGAAGAAATTGAACTGTCTCCTTGAATATAATGTTGCATTCTTTTTAGAAAATTATCATATATTTAAGATACAGAAAAGCATAAGGAATTGTATGCCTAAGAAAGGAAAAATCAACACAATTGAAGCCTCTTCTGATTGCATCCCCCTCAATTATCTTGAAACTGATATTTATCACTCCCTTTTTTGTTCCTGTATCTCACATTCTGGGCATGTCTTGTTAATTAAAGCAAATGTTCCGTGTAAACTTATTGCTTCAACTGAAATATTATTTGGACTTAGGGAAAAGTTGAATATGCAATTGTATTATATTATTCCTTTTACTTCTCTTATATGTTTGCCTTCTTTGAATTGTGCAACTCTTTGCCAGTTCCATGCTTGGTTAATTCAGTGTTCTGTCATCTGTGGTTAGTAGAACTCAGAAATTAGAGAATCCAGAGCAATCAATAGTTGATTGCTTGAGGGCAGGGTAGGAGCGAGAGGGCAAAGAGAAATGAAATATGACAGAGAATAATCAGATTTTTTCCAAAGCAATCAGTATTGTCAATCTGCATACATCATAAATAGCTTTATGAAACTATTTTTACAGCTGGAGTTTCTGAACTAATTTAGTACAGGATTGAAAAGGAGGACATAGTTGACTCATTTGTACAGAGTATATGACTCATATGTATAGAATGAAAACATGTTTATGACAGTCCACATTAAACAAAAGTTGGCATCCAACTTGATTCAGACAAAAGTGAAAGGCAATAAGTTAACGGTACATTGTTTCTCCAAATGCATGCCAGCAGAGTGTGGTAGGAAGGGTACACAACTCAGCACATCTGGGTTGTAGTCCTGCCTCTCCCATTGAACTCTTGAGTGTGACATGCAGATGAATAACCTTGCTAGCAATAAAACACTATAACATATAATAGCTCTTGTAATCTCCATTTACTTATGAAATATGTCTCACTGAATCACTAGAAGAATGGACCGTCATAGGTGCTCTCAATAATAACTAAATAATGAGGAGTAGATACCAATAAGAACAAATCTCTCTTATAATGATCTATTTTATTCCCTAACTCATAGTTAGAGGTCCCATAACCTTGTATATCAATTGCTAAAATAATAATGAAAAATACTAAATTATTTCCGTTCATACAGAAAACATTTCATTACAACAAAAGGCTGATTAAGCTATCCAATATCTAAAATTAAACTTGATAAATAAACTCTTCATAATATATATACGTGTCACAAAGACATCATATTAAAGGCAATTTCCTAAATAAGACTAGTCATGTCAAGAAAATGGATGCCTCGAGGTAGCATATCATCATTTAATGTCAGATAATAGTAAATATTAACTTAGACATATTCCCTTCACATATAGGATAAGACTTAGAAAATAATGAATGTAAAGAAATCATATTATAAATAAACCCAAAAATATAATAAAAAAACAAATTCTATTGTATAAATAATAAGCTGGCAAATATAGTGAGGAATAAAAAAATCAGTAAATTGAAAATTTATATTACATTACTAAATAAAATAAATAATTCCCTAATGCCATGTTCTCAGGATTAATAGAACTGAACGTGCTTACGTTTTAGATGTCAACACCTCATGGACAACGCACTATCACGAACTTAAGTAGACACTATAGGCATCTATTCTTTCGATAATATTTACCTCGAGCCCTAACCTTGACAT